CATTATTCATTCCCATTTTTCAATTAAACTTACCACTTAATTTTCTATGCTGGTTATATAATTTTTAAAGAAAAAAATGCATTCAATAAGAAAGAGAGAGGCAGTTTTACTAATGGTCTCAGAGTTTTGCTTTAAAATCCAGAGTCACTCAAATGCAATGAACACAAACCCAAAAGGTATGGCCGAATGTCTATGGGGTTCAAAAAACCAAAACACACACCACCCACACATAACCACACACACACATACACACACACAGAGCCCCGCTGGAGTCAGCCGTTCTCATTATCGTCAATGTGAAATTACTGCGCACACTAAATGGATGTATCTGTGGTTGTTAGACGTTCGGTTAAAAGCCTCTCTACTAGATGAAAATGGCCGCTGCTGTGGTGTGTGTTGCTGAAATGGCTGTTATAGATTTATGGTTATGATTAAACGTGGAGCCAGAGACGCTCTTTAAAACGGCAGACCCACTCAAGCCTGAATTTAAGCATGTCTACCTCAGACTTGCTGCTCAGATTCTGGGAAGAGAATCATTATAGTTTTACAGCGCTCATAACATGGCCTGATGCTAATGAGGTATGAATGTGTGTAAACACACAGCGCTATAGAGCACGTTTGTGTGTGCGTGTGTGTGTTCATATACATGAATTCTGTCTGTATCTACATCTGTAATGTCAGACTTACCCTTGATGTTAAGGCAGCATGCTAAAAACACCAGCAGCAGGCTCTAGCAGAACGAGACATCAATTTAAAGGTGCAGCGAGGATTTTTTTTTTTCTTCCTTAATGTAGAAATTAATGACATTTTTTTTGCAAAGTACATTAAAATGGTGTGCACTCATGAGATATAAACTCATCAGTAGCCTATTAAAAGCTGTTTTATTTGACATGGAGATGGTCGCCTCATGGGGTCTGATATGCAACCATTTTGGTTTGGTGCATTTATATATTTCATGCATTAAATATATCTACAAATCATTACCATATGACTTTTCTGCTATTTTTTTTTTACCAGTGGGAAGTAATTGTTTTTTTTTTTGTAAAAAAATGTTTTTGTGTAAATAAGAATTTTACAAAATAATATAGTATTTAATTAAACAGGGCTGTTCGTTATTATGTTTTAGAGTTATTGTGGAGTATTTATTTGGTAATATTTAGTGTATAATGCAGTGTAATGCTTTCACCCTAATTGGGTTCCTGAATATTTGTGTCTGTGAATATAGCTGTTTAAAAAATACATTAAATTAATAAAACTATCTTAAATATAATTAGATACAGCAAATGCAGTAACTACACATTTGGTCAAGATTGTGTTATAACTGAAATTGGGTCTCTTATAATCTGTCAGACAGGTTCAGCTCAACTTTCGATGAAAACGTAGTGTACAAATTTATATCAAATGACTCAAAATTCAATCATACAACTTTGAGGCCTTTTTTCAGTTCCAGTGTCGGTGTGCTTGCTGCATTTTGAACTACTTTTTCAAAAAGCTTCTTTTGACTGCAGTTGAACAACTTTAAATGAGCAGCTTGACAAGCTGCAGTTTCAGTATAGCCTTAAATGAATATAATTATATGCTATCAGCTGACTTCCTAAAGGGCTTAAGCACTCACACAACCTTTAATTTGCAGTAAAGAACAAAGCAGAAGTGTAGTGTAATGTAAAATACATACACATTACCGTCAATATCCTGAATGTTTCATAATCAGAGCACGTTTAATTCTTTCTTTTTTCCCCACTGAGAAAATGTTAGACTGTGTTTTGAGCATTTTAATGCAACTGTGTTATGGAATTTAGTTCAGAACGAATATATGCAGTCATGCTTGGATCACACTTAGAGATGAGCTGAAAGCAAGTATGACCTCCAAGTGTGTAAATAATGTTGTAACAGTGTAATCATGTAAGTTTATGAAGTGTGAATGTCTGCGCAGAGCCCATCTGACTGCATCAGAGTGTCCATCATTTGCGGAACGGCTCACAGTCGGTCGTGCCGAGCTCAGCATTAACGAGCCCGTTACAGCTCCTGCTAGCGCTAATGGATTAGCCATTCCATCGATGGCCCTGGGTTATGTGTGTATTTGTGTTTCGTGTGAGCAGTCTAAAGCATCGATTTGGTGGCAACAAATTTATATTCCTCTTTCCCAGTGTCAAAGACATCAGTCTCCTGTTTTACTCTCTCTTTCTCTCTCTCTCTGTCTTTCCTTCCAGCACTATCCACAGACGACGGACCCCCCCTCCCATGTATGAAACTACGAGTCACTGTGTGTTGTCCACCGAGTAAGTACAGTCCTCTCTTCATCCTCTAGGTTTTTTTTGTCCACACTATTTCCTTGGGAAAAAAGCATGTCACCCCCCCCACACACACCCTCTCACGCAATCAGACATGCCCCTCTCTCTGCACGCAACCGCTCGCTCGCTCGCTTTCCCTACTCTCTGCCTACCTTCTTCACATTTCCCCTTTTCTGCTAATGCATTCACCATTTCTCTGGTTCATCATTCTATTTTTCATCCTTTTCTTCTTCTTTTTTTTTTCTCTGACTCAATGGTTAAAATGCAGATTAAAATAGCAAAATAAATTGTAAAGAAAGTCTTGGCTAAAAAGTCGGCTTGCATTGCTGTACATGAAAAAAAAAACACATTTATTTTCAAATGAGAAATTTCACAAATTAAAGGTGTACAATACACACACACGCACACACACTATAAGCAACTATAACACACTTAAATAAAAAAGAAAAATAATGATTTTTTTGTATGGTTTTTTTTTTTGTAGATAGATAATATAGCAACAAAATCCAATTTTACCAATCTCTGTTGACTACTACTACTAATAATAATATAAGTATATCAAAATATATTTGTTATATAATAAAATTTTAATAATATTAATATATGTGATAACTCATTTATATTATAATAAACATTCATACAAAATATACATTTATGAAATTGGAATTTGTATTGTATTTATTTTGTAGTTAAAAATAGCAACAAAATCAAATTTATATGCAAATAATGTATGTATATACAATGTATATACAAAAACAAACAACAATAATAATAATAATAAATACAGCATTGTTGTTTATTATTAATATTTTGAATTTAAACATCATGAAAATATATTTGTTTTGAAATTCAAATTTGTATTGTATATATTTTTTGTAGTTAAATAATATAGCAACAAAATCAAATTTATATACGAATAATGTATTTTCAATGTATATAAAAAACAAATACATTATTATTATTATTATCATTCATTTGAATTACAATAAACATAATAAAAATATATACATACAAATACATTTGTTTTGAAATTCAAATTTGTATTGTATGTATTTTTTTATAGTTAAATAATATAGCAACAAAATCAAATTTTTATACGAATAATGTATGTATATAAAAAACAAATACATTATTATTATTATTATTCATTTGAATTACAATAAACATAATAACAAATAAATTTGTTTTGAAATTCAAATTTGTATTGTATGTATTTTTGTAGATAATATAGATACAATCATTAGATTATAGAAACAAAATTTATATACAAATAATGTATGTATATACAATGTATGTACAAAAACAAACTATTATTATTATTATTATTAATTTGACTTACAGTAAACATTACTATAATGAAAAATGCATTTGTTTTGAAATTAGAATTTGTATGTATATTTTCATATAAATAATGATAAATAATATAGAAAAATACGGTCTGTTTAGTCAAGTAAATTTAAATGTCCTTAAATTGTGTATATATATATATATATATATAATACATTTAAATGAAGACAAATACATTTGTTTTGAAATGGGAATTTGTATGTATATTTTTGTAGATTGTAATTATAACTAGTACAGTAATCATAAATCATATTTATTATTAGCTGTTGTCAATTGATATTTTATTTTTAATTATTTGCACATATTTCTATTTGCCATCTCTTTTTCCTTTTGCTATAACATGATGTGTGAAAGCGTATGTGCATGTTAGTGTGTGTGTGTGTGTGTGTGTGTGTGCGTGGAGCGAGGCTGGCTCTCAGAGCCCTGCAGTTATGTTGACCTTCCGCTCTGCTTGGCTGATGCGGGATCAGCAGGGAATGCCGCCCAGTAAGAGTGGGAATGGCAGTGGGGTCCGTAAGCCGTCCGACCCAATTCCACCTCCTGCTTCACACACATGCACAGACACGCACACCAACTCAGAAGCTGTCGAACCCAATATCCAAGTCCTGTCCCGGCCCCAAACCTGCCTTCTGGCCTCTCGCACTCTCTCTAACTTTTCATGACACCATTTGTACTTATTCATCAGCTATGAAAATGTTTTATGTTTGTTACAGTCTAGTTTGATACAGTACTGTATTTAAATATCTAAGTTACTTTTTCATTGTTGGAAAAGTGGGTAACCATTGCGTTTGTTCCACATAAAGTGAATCAAACAAACTAGCTGTTGTGAAATCAAATTCTTGAAGCCTTTAAGGAGATGTGTTGTGTAACCTTCAGGGAGAAATATCTTGTGGTTGGAGCAGAAAATGCTTGTGCAATTGATTTGAAATGTTTGTATGTGAAACATCATGATCTGAGGTGGATGTTGTTTATTTTAGGAGCAAAATTTGATAAGGGAAGATGGAGTTTTAGTTGTTTTGAGGAAGAAAAGGTTCTTCATTCAATCGGACTAACATTTACTTTATCCGTGGTAGATGCTTTAATGACTGCGTGGAATGACAACTTTTCTTCCTCGTCTTTGCACATTTTCCTCTTCTCATGCTCTCGCTTCAGATGGTCCATCACTTTTATCCCGCTCTTTCCCTCTTTTTCTGTTCTCTGACCGAACCTAATCCAGACTAAACTGTAGCATCCCTGCTTCTCCCTCCCTCCTTTTTTTTTTTCTCCTCCTAGTGTTTAGTCGTTCCTGGAGTGGCACTAATCTCCCCCTCTCTGTTTCTTTTAGTCTTTTCCTTCCCTCCCTCATTTTTATGATCTGTCGTTACCGGAGCAAAACTAATCAGAGTCTTATCCACTACACTTTCCCTGAGTCTCCACTCTCTTCAAACTCTGTCCATTTCTGGATTTCTCCTCATATTGCATTCCATCTGTCCATTGCATCATGTTCCTGAATAGTTATAGACACATCTGTTTATATTCATACATATATATTTGACTATTTTTAAGCATTTTAGTTGACCGCTGTGCTTGGTTGGCCAATTAACATAATTATACTTGCGTATTACGCACATTTTTAGTATTTTAATTTTTTTGTGCTGTAAGAATATGTGTTATATAATACAATAACATATATAATTTAATTTAATCTAATATTATATAATATAATATAATACAAAATACTATTTCTTTTTTAAATGATTGATATTTATATTTTTATTCATAATCTTTTGGAGAGGTTTTGTATCTCTCTTAATATTTTTTCAAACAGTATGTGTTTTTTTCTTTAGCAGTATATATTTTAGCAGTATATATTTTTTCTTTCTTTTTTCAAGGTATAAATGCACATTTTTAGCATTTTTTTGTGCAGTAAGAAGAATGTTATATAATATGTAATTTTACTATTATTATTATATAATATATAATTTTACCAGTACTTTAGCAGTATATTTTTTTCTTTTTCTTTGTCAAGGTATAACTGAATAATTGAAAAATTGAATCTAATATTATATAATATCATATAATACAAAATAGACTTTATTTTTTAATTATTTATATCTATTTATATTTTATTCATAATCTTTTGGAGAGGTTTTGTATCTCTCTTATTATTTTTTTTCAAACAGTATATATTTTTTTTCTTTATCAGAATTCATACTGTTTTCATGCGTTTACTTTTTTATTTATTCACAATATTTTATTTGGTTTAATTTTCGATTAGTCCAATTAACATTCCGTCGTCCATGACAAGCTAAATAAATGTTCATTTACATTCTGCAATTTTGTGTGTATATTTTATTTGCCATTAAATTGTAATATTTATTGCCATTGACCACGGTTCAACCCTTCCTGACATCGACTAAAATGTATTTCATTCAAGGTTTCTTTTCTACGAGCCTAAAAGCAACATTTAAAATTAATACTTGCTCTTATTATCCTCATTTGCTTCCATATATCTCCGCATTCTCCACCACGTTTTGCTTTCAGACCCTCCGTCTTCTCGCATGCCTTCTTGCACACCTTTACAGCATTTTTCCTGTGCTGTTTTCCTCTGATCATTTGTATGTAAAGATGAATGAAAGGAGAGGTGTGTGTGACGTGACTTTGCGCCAGGGCATGTTTTGCACAGCTAGTGTTTGTCCCTCCTGGTAGTGCCACAAACCGACTTCGGTTCCTTCCTGTGGCAGGTCTTTTATCTGACAGACCGTTTTGGACTGAGGGTCCTGTCAGTGTTCACCGCGGAAACAACGTTACAGCTGCAGCCGGAGCTAAATCTCAGTCACGCGGCACCAGCAGCAAGCTGTATTTAAAATTTAATTAAGTCGAGCTCATTTCGCTAGGTCATTTGAGCCTTAATGACCAGGCTCATGGGAAACAGAACAAGCTAAGGACTGCAAATAGATCAGTAATACCAGAGGGAATCCAGTCACAAGTTGGTTGCAAGGTTGGTTAGCGCTGTGAAATAAGCTTTTCTATTCATTTGAGATGTATTGAGCTGTATGCGAATTATTCGAAGTCTGGTATATAGGAAATAACTGAATGTAGTGCTCATTATAGAGCATGACGGATTCATGGAGTGTAACAGTGAAATGGTTCCCCCTGAACCAGCAACATGCTTGAAGGATCCCCAAAAGCTGGCAATGTGTCGCAGTTAAATCCATCCCCTCACTCGTATATATCGCAAAAAGAGAAGAAAGACAATAAAAGCTTTGTGATGTTCATACCTGGAGTTTGGTAGCAAGACACCTCGCTCAAACTATAAAAGCACGACCAGACCAAAAACTCGGCAATATTCGGTCTTGATTGAGCGGCGTCTCATGGAAAACAGCTCCCGGGTGCCCTCGTCTTTCATCCTATTCACTTTGCTCCGCTCCCTGCACTTACTCGGGGCAACTTGTCAAAACATTAATTCTGCTGTTGTTTTTTTTCCCCTCCTCTCTCTCATTCAGCGTCTTTCTCGGTCCTTCTCTCCCCCGCTGTGAAAAACCATTTCAGTCAGTTCTACTTTCTCTCTAATTGATCCCTGTCTTTTTCGACTCTTTTTAACTCGCTCGGTCCTGCTGTGAGCACACAATTTCCTTTTCCAGTTTCTGTCCGTTTCTCAACGTTTTTAATTGTTTTAAAAACCCGAAACTCTGTCCGTTTTGCGCTGCCCACCTCAGTGGATACCTCGTCCTCCCCCTTTTATTCACCTCTCTCGCCTTGTTAGTTTTGTCATTCGCCAGAGTGTTTTTCTAAAGCGAGAATAAGAAAAAACGCTAATTCGGTGCCTTTACACAAGTGTAGTTTTTCCTTGAAGTGACCGATTTTTCGGAAAATATAAACAAGGAAATACGCTTACGTTTTCGGCATGTCAGTCGAATGTTTTCGTTTAGCAATAACAAGTAAAGGGTATCATTCAAAAAAATGAATGAAGCAGGGAAGCTTTTTCTCTCCCTCTCGTCTGTTCTCCATCTCTCGCATCCTCTTCCCAGTCGTTCTCTGCATCATAGCATGGCAGCCATGTTTTATGCAAGGAAAGCACAACTGCAGACATTTTGTGCTCGAAAACAAAAAAAAACTGCCATCTTGTTGAAGCAAACATTTCATTTCACTTTAGTAAGAGAGAAAAATAGGTTTAAACGTTTGCCCAAATAATATATTTTTCTTCAAGACTAATTATCTTCTCTCTCTTTTTCCTTTTTTTCAGTTAAGTGCTGACATTTCTATTTAAAACAACATGCAAAAAAATTTATGTAGATATTGTAGGCTACGTTGGTATATTTTAATGGTAATTATAGAAGATTAGAAAATATCAATAATAATCTTATCAAATTTTATTTATCAGAGTTTTATTTAATGCCTGATTAAGGTTTTGTGTGATTGCATGCCTAAATTTACCATTACTTTGTAAATGAATACATATATTATATTTGCAGATTTTTTATTTGGATTAAATAAGTTTACTTTTAAATTTTTTGTATGTTGTTAGATGTAAACAACTGTTTAATTGAGACTCCTCTCAGCAGGCTGTTTTTGTGTATTGTAAAAAATTATTTTTAGTTTAATCATATTAATAATGATATGTTTATTAATTTTATTTTTGTTTAAAACAATTATAGATAAATCCTATATTATAGATTAATCCTTTAAGCTATAACAATTATAGATTAATCATTTCATGCCCTTGTCGTGTAAACTAGTTTAGTATTCAAATTAATTTCAAATTTGAAAATCGCTTTTCATACTTTCCTGTATTCCAAGATTTTAATTTGTGGAAAGATAAATGTGGAAAAAAATGTCGAAGAATGGTACACACATCTCTTCCATCTTTATTTGACCCTCTAACTCTAGCACTCTTTATTCAAATTCTATTTTATCTATTTATTTTCTTTTTTTATTTAAAAAAACAACACTTTAACCTTTAAGACTTGCACTCTATTTGTTTTCTAACTGCGTGTTTTCTTTTAAAAAAAGCCTCTAACACTAGCTTTCTCTATTCTTTTTCTATTCTATTTGTTTTCTTTTTATTTATTATATAATTAACAAAAAACTATTTGTTTTCTAACTGCTTGTATTATTTAAAAAAGGGCCCTCTATCTCTAGCTTTCTCTATTCTTTTTCTATTCTATCTATTTGTTTTCTTTTTATTTATTATATAATCATAAAAAAGTCCTTGCTACATGTACTGAGTTAGGCTAACTGAGACTTGTCATAGCACTTGCATATTATTGCTCTTTTTTTTATTTTGATTAATTCCATTGTCCTCATTTGTAAGTCGCTTTGAATAAAAGCGTCTGCTAAATGACTTAATGTAAATGTACATGATCTATATATGATGAAGTCGAACAATGTTTGATTAGTGGTTCATTATAAATGCATTACATTTATAAATATTATGTTTTTGAACTTTTAATTTGCTATGATTTAATTTGATATGTTTCTATTGTTTTGATGCTCATTTGTAGTTCTTTTCTAATGAGGCAGTTTCATTTTATCTGCACACATTTTCTCTCATTTCTTGACTGTAAATATTGACAAAAGTCAGTGTCCTCATCAAAAGAAGGCATATCTGAATGAAACCTTTAATGAAGGATTTTATCTCTCCGTTTGGTCAAGTGTTAATAATGGGTTAAACTAACTTGAACTAATATGTGTTAACTTGATTTTGTTTAACGAGCAGGCAATTAGTTGACGTGAAATGCTTTTGGAAAACTGACATGTCCTGCGGTGTGACATGCTATCGTCTAAAGCTATGTAAACCATTTTTCCAAATATTTTATAATTATTATACATGCAGTTTGTATGAGCAGATTAACTGAGAAAGTACATTAAATTAATTGTAACTTTAAAACCTCTTTTTTCATTATTGTTATTTGTCCATTTTAAACAAACATACCAATGAAGGCAAGAAGCCGATTTAAAAAAACAGAATCTTAAAGTGTACAGTCATAGAATACCACTCAAATTAATTTAAAACTTTTTTTTTTTTCATGTTGATTCTTTTTAAAGTTTATCTTAAGTATGAACTACATATTTGTTTGTACACTTGTCCTCTACTTTCAACTCGCTCTATAGTTTTAGGCAACTGCTCTTGTTTAGTCTACTACGCTCTACTTTCCCCACTTCTGCGATATCTCTCTCTCTCTCTCTCTCTCTCCATTCATCTTTTCTTCATTATGTTTCTCAGTCTGACCCCCTGTTGAGAGATTGACACTCAGACACAAACTCCCTCCCTCCTTCCCACTTTCGTCTCTTTCCTTTTGCCGTCTGACCTTCTTTCAGGTTCTTGGCTCCCCTGTTCGTTCTCCCTCTGCTTTTCTCACACTTCCTCCTCTCGTCTTTTCTCTTCTCTGTCTTCTCCAGTGTTTCGCTCCATCACTCTATCTTTGTTGCTTTTGTGGCCCTTCTCTGTTGAGTCTTGTATCTCTTGCTCCTTTCCCCCCTCTAAATCTTTTCTTTTCCACGCTCCTTTCTCTTGTTCATCCTCCCAGTCCACTTTTTTGTTTCTTGCAGAATCTTTCATCTCCTTCCACCTTCATTTTTTTCCCCGCTATCTTTCTGTGTGCAACCTTTAAGAGAATTTGCATTGAGGATGTATTTTGGGGTTGTGCAGCCGTTAGTAATTTTTCAGTATGTTTCTGCCTGAGTGTAATGGTAAATGTGTCTCTATGTGCATTTTTCTTCTCATTTGTTCTCAAGAATGATGTTCCGAGTTTGTAGCTCTCAAAAAAAAAAAGGTAAAAATGTAAAAAGTACTTACACCTCACATGTCTGTCTTTCTTTCTCCCACCATCTTTTTATATCCTCTAGCAACAGCTGAATCATCAAGACAAGAAGGTTAGTGTTTATTGCTATACAGTTTTTTCCCTTGGTTTATAATATGACATAAAATTACAAAATACCTATTATTTTTTTACTCATTAAAAAAAGCAAATGATTTAATTATATGCATTATATGTATGTATGGTGTTTGTGTGTGTGTGTGTGTGTGTGTGTGTGTGTGTGTGTGTGTGTGTGTGTCACAAAAAAAAAATAAAAAAAAAAAAAAAAAAAAAAATATATATATATATATATATATATATATATAAATTATAAAAAAAAAATATTTGTATAATTTTTATATGATAAATTAATTTTATCATGGTTTTAATTTTTTATTCTTGGTCTATTTTTATTCATATAAAACTGCATTCTTAGTTTTGAGGAGACATAAAAGATGCTAGATGATTATGTGAATATTAAAATGGACAAAAACAGTTACATCTTTTTTTCTTTGCATATGTGTTTTAACATCATATTTATTTGTCTGTTTTCTTTTGTTTTTTTTTCTGTTTTATGATTATTGTAGCCACAGAGAGACCGTCACACAGCAGCGCTGTCCATCCAGTGACAGTCGGACGACTTTCTCTCCTCCTCATATTCCTCTTGTTGCCTTATTTTCTCTAATATCTCTTCTTAAAACTTAAAACCTGAAAACAAGTGCTCTGTTGCTGCAGATATTCCTCCGTAACCAGTTGCGTTACAGTAAATGCTTGTTCTACTTCTGTGGATTACACACACACACACAGACAGACTCTCTCTCTTTCTCGTACTCCTTTGCTCTGTCATTTTTGTCACGCTATTAGTCTCCATCCCTCCATTTCCTTCCTGGCAGTCTCTCTCTCTCTCTCTCTCTCAGTCCACTCTCAGTGGCGTCTTACTCCTGTCTGCTCTGATAAAAGTTCACTCTGTAACAGAGCGACACTAATCTACCTTCAAAGAGCTTATCTTACTGTTCATTTTCTTTGAATTCATCTGTCCTTAAGAGTCAGACATTCCTTTACAAGCCCCTGCTCCCCCCTCTGTCCTACTGTACAACAAACTGAGCCAAAGACGAGGAGGATGAAGCTCCTGCTGTTTGTACTACTGAGTGGAAGATCAGGGACAGAGTGACCATTCATACATGTGATCACTAACATATCCAATCATCAACAATGGAACTTGGAAAAAAAATTTAAACTTTTTGTACAATTTTTTTTTTCTCTTTGAAAAAAGGAATACATTGAAACCAAAGCCAGACCGCAGCATTTAAAAAATGATATTTTGCTGTATTGACTTTAAGCAACCTGGCAGAACTCTGGAATTACCTGGAATATCCTGGAATTTTTGTGTCTTGAATTTCTTTCAAATTTATTTGAAATTTGTAGTTTGTGTGATTGAGTGACGGCCTGCCTGGACCACACAGGAAGAGAAAGAACTACTTCCTGTTCATCACTTGTGAGGCATGATCAGTCATTTCCTAGTATGGACTCCTCTGATTGGTCTGCATGTTTGTGTTTAATAAGGCACTTAATCAGGTTCATACAACATCTTTTTCTCACATAATTATTGATATGCAAGAGAATCAAAATAGCCCAAAATAATAAAAGCTGGAAATGTTTCTATTTAAATCATTTAAATATTTTTCAGATGTATTTTTTTTTTTAATGATTGTTTAAAATTAATATTTTTTTCAATTCACTTCTAATAATAGTGAAGTTATTTTGTCCCCTTTATAAGTTTTAGAAAGTTAATATATATTCTGTGGTAATGATCAATGTTTTTGTTTCTCTAGTTTCTGATGGTTTTCTGGTAATTTCATATTTTCAGATGCAACTCATGTCTGCCAAAACAGAACAATCAGTTTACAAACTTTTTAAATATAGTTTTAAGTATGTAGGAATGTCATTTTGTTTGTAATTTGAGTGTTTCACATTTTTGTGAAGTGATCAGGATCTTCTGTGAAGAACTTTGTCTATTTTTCCATGGCAAAATGAGCTACAAAATAAAAGATTAATGTTTTTCAAGCTGTTGTTTTGACAGTGTAAATTCCTGTTTCGTATGTTATTTGAAGGTGAAAGTCAGCTCCTGTTTATTTTTAGTTTTTTTTTTTTTTTTATACATGTGTGGCCAAGCTGTTTTTATCTGATGGTCTAATTTGAAATTCCCGTCATTATTCTGATAAGTGAATAGCAGATTAATAGGAGAGCAGATTCATTTCTACTGTAATAATTAGTGTACTTATATTACAAGTCACAATCTTCAGAAATGTTTTGACCTTCAGTTCATATCAGGAGGTCTGTTTGTCTCCTCTAGATGGCAGCTGTTCCACAGAGAACAAGTTTAAGAAACTCTGTTCATGTGGACAGTCACACAAAAGATAAGGTGTGCAGTGTTATGAGTCACCATGAATCATTCCTCACTGAAACAAAAACACACTTGCAACTGAACCAAGATATTACGTAAAGTCTGTGTGTGGTTATATTTGTAGTTATCTGCAACTACGCAAATAACGTTTGTTAATTTTGGACATTACCGTTCTAATAATTATTATTAATCTATTAATTTTCTAAGCAGTGATTTTGAATGTCAGTATCCCACTTGTATGTACACATACTATACACCCTATGTGTTTCTCACACTGACACTTGTTGCCATAATTGAAAATTATAGAACAGGATTTATAGCTTCTGCACATACATTTTATTTTTATACTTTTGAGCTGCATTGTTCGTTTGCTTTACAGCAACCATTGATTTAAACTGCTGGTTGTGTGTTGTGTGATTATTGGTCAATGATAAAGGTTGGATAAATCTTTTAAAAGTCTACCTATTTTTATACTATTTCTTTGTATACTATATCTATTTGTATTATAGATATACTTGGTATAAACCTCAAGTAAAAAGTACAGAAAATACTTTTCTTTTTTTTATTGCTATGAAAGTGATTTTCAGAATTTTTTTGTTTTGCATATTTTTATGCTGAATTTCATCAGATTCTATTCACAATCCTCAATAAACACAACCAAAACGCTTCTTTGCAGTAAATTCTGAGTGAAATTTGCCACTGTGGAAATGTGATGGACTGCATAAGAACTGCATTATTTGCATTACATTTACAATACATTTTCAAAAAGTGTTATTTTACTGAATGAAATGCAATGGATAATTATTTATAACATTAATGACCTTGATGGAGACATTCCCTTATCTCTAAATAACTTAACTGAAGACCACACAATACAAGATTAAACAGTAACAGAAACATAATACAAAATGATACAGATATCTAGAGAGACATGCTTATTTCCTTTTATAGTGAGTTAAACTCAGCAAAAATAGAAACGTCCTTTCATGTTATCTGCTTTTATTTCCAACAAATTTCTTATGATGTGTAAATATTTGTATGAACGTGGACTGGACCAGTTGTTTGCCAGTTCTTGCTGTGAGATGTTTCCTCACTCTTGCACCAAGGCTCTTGCAAGTTTTCAAACATGTCTGAGGGACACATGGTTTGACACTGCAAGGACAGTCAGCTCAGCTGTCCTTCCGGTCTCCCTGTTGTGCTGTCTTAAACCTGGAATACACTGCATGATTTTTGCCCTGATTTTCCACTGATTTACAGTCTGGAGAAGTTGACGCTAGTTGCTGAAAGTCAGAGCCAGTCTGCAGATTTGAGATGACAGATTCCATAGAAAATCGAGTAGTGTATGATAGTCACAGACTCCGATTTTTTTAGCTTCAGAATCTGATTCCCCCTAGTTGGAACATGTTTGATATTTTCAGCCGATTTTAGAACACATTGTTTACATTTGTCAATCATCTCCTAGCAACAAGGCGCATGAGTTTGTTGTGATCGGAATGGCTTCAAAGTCTGCTAGTGTATCACCCTCAGTCATGTAGTGAGAGTATGGTGGCCAGTTTTCCTCTGTCTACAAAGGAATTTACAAAGTCGGTAAGTGTATGATGCCTAATCTGTTCAGATTTTAAATATTGTGTCGTGTATTCCAGCCTTTAGGCATCTTACATTACGTACATAGTCCCTACAGCAGGACTATGGCATGTTCACTTTACTCTCCTAAGCTGTTTGGTATTTCAGCTGTTATAAGTTTGTTTAATTATTTAGGTAGAGCAATTCCAGTTTTAATCATATAGTCATCTCCATCCTAACCATCCATCCTGTCTATCATGTCTAGGCCTACTTCATTTTCTCCAAACCCGGCTTACTTTTGGTGAAAGAGCAATTCCTGAATTGAAATGAAAATTGTTTATTTGTTTCTTTAGAATGACATATTTGTCATCGTGCATGTAGATTGTAATGCATTTTCTATGATGGCATACATCAACCATAGATTCTTTCAAATCTTTTAGGTTACAGGCTAGGTGTTTCAGAGCCATTGTCAAAAGAGTCGGTGTAAGTGGGCAGCCTTTTCTAAGCTCCTTATATTGGCCAATTTTTGGAAGCAGGTTTTCCACAATCCTGAAGTCACGTGGAGGTGATGGATCGATCTGCGTCAGGGATTTCAAAGCTTGTTTTAAAAAATCCTTTTTGATTTTTCCAATTGCCTAACAAGTATAGTGGCAAGTATCATGTAATCTGCTCTAAAGTGGTGCCTTCCGTTTTCTACCACACTGTCAGTGAAGCCGTTTGGAATTCCTTCTGTAACCATTTGGTTAAAAAGCTTTTTAAGTTTTAGTGATTTTTGCTCTTTGTTAACCTTAAAGGTTTCCATATTGTCCCCAAGTGGGACCATGTCTAGTCTTGATGCACCCATCTTCTTTTTCTTCTGACTTGATGGTTTTTCTTTTGTTTTGTTTGGATGGTTTCCACGGAAAATGAGTAAATGAATCTCTTTTACCACTATTCTTAAGTCCCCAGACATCTACAAGCATTAAAGACAAGATGAATTCCTCCAGATAAGGTCTAAGGGGCTCTGCATGTCCAGTTGGATACTGCCGGTCAAAATCTGTGTTTAGAACTGTATTGAAATCCCCTGCAACTATCAAGACACCTCTGGCAGTCTGACGTAGATATTCAGAAAGACACTGTAAAACTTTGTGTTCTTTTGCATGGTTATATACATTCACTAGAGTGAAGCATTTACCGTATAATTTGCAGATAAATACAATGTAGCTGCCTGTGGGTTCTATATTGTGTTTTATATGCTCAAAAGGCGATTCATTTTTTATCAGTATTGCAACACCTTTGCTACGTGAATGATGAACACTGAAATATGGTTCCCAACCATCAATGTCTTTAAGATGGCTAACATCATTGATACCTATATGTGTCTCTTGAAGAAATGCAACAGATGCTTGTAGTTCATTCAGCCTTTGTAGAATCTTTGTTCTTTTGTCAGGGACATCAGTTGTGTCTCTAATTCCACAAGTGTTCCATGTGATAAGTTTAAAAGATCTGGTCATATTCTCTAGACTGAAACGATCTGAGGAGGAAAAAAATTTGAATGATAAAATGTTTTAGGTTCGCATGAATTAAATATAGTAGACAGAAGTTATAAGTGTGTGAACAATAGAATTGAATGTCCAGCATAATACCAACATAATGTACTCAAGTTACCCAAATACTGATTAATTAAAAAAAACGGATCTCTCAAAATAAAAAAGTCTTTAAAGTTAAAGCTGCAGGGCACTTCATTTTATCTGAACAGGAGCTCATATTAGCGTCCAGATGGATACTCAAAGTCAAATGTATTGAAGTCCCCTCCAATCAGTTCAGCAGTCTGATAAAAATATTTAAAAAGTTGCTACAAGGCCATGTGTTTTTCCTTGCATGGTTACATACATGTATTTCTATTATTGACCGGTATTGATGAAAAGTAAAATAAAACTGCCTGTGGAGGGTGTGTTTAACTTATCAGTATAGCCTATTGCAACACCTTTGTTATGTGGATGATGAAGACTGAAATATAATTTCTAACCACAATTTTTTGCAACATCTTTAACATTTTCCCCATATGCATCTCTTGAAGTAAAACCGCAACTTATGATTTTAATATAGTAAGTATGATTAAAATCTTTTGTCTTTTTTCTGAGTCTGTGATCAAATTCAGAATGTTTTTTTATCAGTTCCAGGCATTGTCACTATGGTCAGCTAATTTTAAATAAAGATAATCTCTAAAAAGCACCAAAGAGTAAAAGTTGAGTTCAGGTCACATCAGCATGTCCAGCATACAATAACGAATTCATTGCTCTTTTGATTTAAATATAAATTAAAAATAAATACATTACTTTGAACTCTGAAAACATATAAC